TAATCACTTTGTAGTACTCTTTAGCGGACATTTCTCCATTCTCTTAGGGCACTGTCACATTGCTTTAAATCGTAATTGATATTGTCATGAATGTTTTTTCGTGCACATGTGCTTCAATGTTGTAAAACTTAAATGTTGATGTTACCATAGAAATTTAATGAACTATCAGGTTTTTGAAATCACAAGCGTGAAGATAATTTTGGCAGTCTTGTCACGTGTGGTTAATGTGAATCTGTATTACATACAGCTAACACACTGAAATGAGTTTAACTCCCGGGAGGCTAATGCGGTGATTGATCCCCGAGAGTAAATCCCTGAGATTTGTTATTTGATTCGCCCCAGAAATATTGTTAGCCTTCTGGGCGCGTCCATTGTTCCAAGCCTTGATTCCAGAACTTGTTTTGTCTAACTGATTGTCATTTTGAGTCTGTACGAGAGATGACATCAGACATAGAAGACTTGACTATCATTACAGGACGTGAGTAGAGGAAGGCAGGAAATGTGACGGCTTGAATGTGAGACATAAGCCCTTCCAAATTTGACAGGAGTGAATGTGAAAATGAGGGAAGAGATGAAATGTTTTATTTAAATAAAATGTTTGATGTTATTATAATATACATGCTTAGTGTACATATAGATTAGATACTACACATATGCGCTTGTTTCTTTATCACAGTTCCCACACTGGGCAGGGACTAGTAGGCATCCATTCTTCGAGTGTAACGACAGTGAGGACGACAAACTGGAAAAGGATAGGCAGGGTCTCAAGCCGAGAACTGTCCCGAGGTTTTATTCTCTAACTAGGAGTTTAGTATATTAATTCCATCAATAACACCATCTTTACTCTACTAGCATAAACCCGTTCATGTTATTTTTGGTTAGATACATTCAATAAATCTTGTTCATGTTGTTATAAAATTGTTGAGTAAATTGTGTACTTAGGTTCAAGTGTCTTTGTGCATACTAGTTTACTTCAGCTGACAAATATGTAAATCACTTGATGGGGGCTTTAAAATAATGTCAGGAGATGAGAAAGTCGGAGGGGTTAACTGTGTGTCTATCTATCCCTTCTCCTATTCCTGTGGATACAAGTACAGCAACTTTCATTAATGGAACGAGCCATTCGCTGTTTTCTTGGCTATCCAGGACTGTCTAGGATCAACATAGCTTAGATATTAGTCCAGTTTCTCTAGTGGGTGGGCACTGTTAAGGTTCAAACCCACACCCTCACTATTTCAGTGTATTTACCCACGTGGGCTCGCGACAGATCCCCTGAGTGACGGTCAGATCCCCTGAGTGACAGTCAGATTCTTTGAGTGTCGTCTAGATCCCCTGAATGATGGTCAGATCTGCTGAATGACGATCAGAACTCCAGAGTGATGGTCAAATCCCTTGAGTCACTGTCACATCCCGAGAGTGACGGTCAGATCCTATGAGTGACGCTCAGATCCCCTGAATGTCGTCCAGATCCCCTGGGTGTCGTCCAGATCCCCTGAGTGACAGTCAGATCCTCTAAGTGAAGATCAGATTCCCTGAGTGACAGTTACATCCCCAGAGTGCTGGTCACATGTCCTTAGTGTCGTTCAGATCCGTTGAGTCTCGTCCAGATTCCCTGAGTAACAGTCAGATTCCCTGAGTGACGGTCAGATCCCCTGAGTGACTGTCATATACCCTGAGTGACGGTCAGATCCCCAGAGTGACGGTCAGAGCCCCTTACCGCTCTTACTGCACTATTTTCCTCATACCCTGATAATCTATGTGTCCCTCCACACTGTTTACTAGCTCCCAGAAGGCTCTCACAACATCTAACTTGTTGTGTATTAGTTTATCCCTAAGTATTGCAGAATCCGCCAGTCTATGTGTCTTCCATTTATTAACACATTAACATGGCCTGAAGAAAATATCCAAAGGGAGCTATCAACTCAAAACCTCTGAAACAATGCTAGCAACCTGCATGGAGCATACTCCACCTCTGTTGGAGCTGTGTGGTCTCGAGTCATGGCGTCCGCCACGAGTGCTGGAGGTCCCAGGTTCAGATTCCGGTGAAGGCTATGATTTTTTCACCTGGACTTCAGCAATTCTCTCTGCTCTCTGGGTAGTAAGAGCGGACGCCTGGTGTATTGTTGCACACGTAAAAAAAATCCCTCCTTGGTTTAAAATCGTAAAGAGTAGCCTAACGACACAGCCCGGGCAAAATGTATAATTAAAAATCTACCTAAAGTCTTTTAGGATCCTCGCCTGTGCTACGGAGTTCGTGTTCTGCGCTGAGGTTCTTCGGACTCAGACTTGACTGAGAAGTAGAACGGAGATCTTATGGGTTGCTACCCTTGTTATAATGTTGATTTGTCGCTTAAATCTGAACCTATACTCCACCCCTCTCAACGTGCCTTATGCGTCTACAAGTAATAAACGCTAATTCATCTACTGAAATTACCATTACTTAACAAAGAATCCCTGATGAAACTAGTAAAAACTTGACTGTGCTGTGTTTCATTATTGGAACCGCTGGCTAAGCTACAGTAGTAAACACTTGACTGTCGCGTGGCACAGCAAAAATATGCTGCTAATTGGCTGTGCCAGAAGACGTGAGTGAGGGTTTAATTTTGGCATATATTATAGAGTTGTTTTCTAACAAAAACACTTTGTGGCTGGACTTCATGTGGGAAGGGAACGGTCGTCGCACTCGGTGCTTTCTGTTGAACTGGATGCAGGTATGTAGGCCCGTTTTTTTAAGTTTGCAATGATGTGTAAGTATACTCTTCTTTTTTTTTTTTTTTAATAGCTCTATCTCTGTCTGTCTGTTTGTCTGTCTCTCTCTCTCTCTACACCGCCCATCCTCCCCTCTCCCCCCATTTTCCCTCTCTCTGATTTGTTTGCAGAGACTAATATCTCATAATAACAGCTATCATTAAAAAAAAAGGGGGGGGGGGTCAATGTGGTGTAGCTAGTCGCTCGTCTGCGGATCAGAAGGTCGTGGGTTCGGGTCCTGGCGGAATCGGACTTTCTTTACACGGTGACCTCGGCTCCCAGGTCGACCCAGCCTTGAATGGGTACCAGGTGCAGTCATGGGAAGTAAAGGCGTTCGGTGTGATACTGACCACATCACGCACCAAGTGCCCACTGGTCTATAAAATATAAGTCTAGATCTATATCCACAGCATGCCGGAAGGCGTGGAAAAGGTTCCGTGACTTTACTAGCTATGATAACCGCATGTATCAGTTTCGTGTGCTGACACCACTCCATGCCAAGAGGAGGGGCTGATTAGAATAATTTCGCCCTATCATCCTCTGTCTCTTTTTTCCCCACAGATCGTTCCAGAGTTCACAACATGTTCCAGTTTCCAGTACCCCTCCCCCCCCCCCCCCCCCCCCCAGCCCCACCCCGAGCCCTCTTTCCCACAAATAAAAAAGTTACTGTCTCCCCCCCCCTTCCTCCCTAAAGACGTTTCCTCTCTCCTCTCCCCCCTCCCCAACCCTCGCCTAAACTTTTGGATCTTTTCTCTCGGTTATGCCAGTGTCGATTCTGTACCATTTGGTGGTGAATTGATGTATGACAAGTTAGACGTTGTGAGGGCGCTTTGGGAGTGAGTAAACAATGCTGAGGCACAAATAGATCATTACGATCTGAGTAGAATGACCTGGCGATGAATTACCAGGAGATCTGGCCGACGCTCAACACTCAAGGCGAGACGGATGTACAGTCAGACAGCTAATGGTGCCATCGGCACTGGAACGCTTCGCTTGCTGCTGAAGATGGGGGACGGAGCGCTTGTGGGAGTGTCCCGAGTGCTATGGTGTAGATTCTTGATTCAATATTCATCATTCTAAGTTGGGTGGGGGTCTTGGTTGTGGGGGGGGGGGGGGTAAGGCATGGGTGTCAACTTATGGGTGCGCTGGGCACTTACCCGGGGTCACCATGGGCCTAGGTCCCCAAGCTGATCTGTTAATGTCAAGTAACTTGCCATATAAGATTTTTTTCTAGTAACTTCAAACTTTGTCGTCTAATCTGTGTTTTTGTTTTGACACCGTTTCGTTGAAGTGCCAATACAGTAAATATATGTTTTATATTATCGACCATTTACTTAATATTCATGTGAGTGGGAATCAAAGGGGCCCCAACACAATAGTTTCCCGTGGACTCAGCACACTGGTTTCCTCAGGGCCCCAGCACATTGGTTTTCCCGGTGCCCCAACTCAATGCTTTTCCCGGGGCCCCAGCATACTGGTTTCCCCATATCCCCCAGCACAACAGTTTCCCCAGGGCCCTAGCACAATGGTGTTCCCGGGGTCCCAGCTCAAAGGTTTCCCCGGTGCCCCAACATACTGGTATCTCTGGGGCACCTAGCACAATATTTTCCTAGGCCCGTAGCACAATAGTTTCCCCGGGCTCCAGCACAATAGTTTCCCCCGGGCCCCAGCACAATGGTTTCCCTGGGGCCCCAGCACAATGGTTTGTCCTAAGCCCATAATGCCGTTGTGATGGTCCTGGGCTTTATTATTATTGCTATTATTCTCATTATTGTTCTCACTGTGTGCTCAATGACAGAAATAATAATAATGTGTTTGAAGAAATATAAAATGTATAAACAAATTTTACAATACAACGTCTCTATATTGTGTGTGCATGGGTGGGGAAAGAGGGTGGGGAGTGTGGTGGGCTATGTACCCTGAAACTTAATTAAATTCACTGCTTACATATACATACATACACACACACAAGCACACAAAAACGCACGCATGCATCCACCCACACACACACACACGCACGCATGCACGCACAGACAGACAGACAGACAGACAGACAGACAGATATATATATATTATATATATATATATATATATATATATATATATATATATATATATATTTATTTATATATAATTTGACCTGAGTATGCATAGTAACAATGTTCTTTATCCTATATACATCCAGCTCTCATGCTTCACACCTACACTTGTAGAGACCACCTCATTGTGTGACAGAAGCAGACATAAAAATGATGGATGAAGTCATCATCCCTCTCCACAAGGACTTCCACATTTGGCAGCAGGCTAAAATCCTCGACCTGACCCCAGTCATCGTTCTGGATGTTCTCTACATGCTGTTTGGCGTCGTCGGCAACTCCGTCGTGGCCTACGTCTGCTTGTTTCACCTACAGCGAACTGTCATCAACAGTTTTGTCCTATCCCTGGCTATCCTGGAGCTGCTAGGGTGCATCCTCACAATTCCAGTGGATATTACCGAGCTGTTGAACTCTTACGCTTTCGACTTTCCACTGCTGTGTAAATCTGAGAGGTATTTCAGAAAAGTTATTATATTCTCCACTGGGTGCATTCTTTTAGGCATCGCAGTGGAGAGGTATAAACGAATTGTGAAACCACATGAGCCTCATATGACTTTGTTCGAATTTAAAATAGCAATTGTGGGAGCTATCATATTCTCAGCTGTTTTAGCCACTCCAGAAGCGATTTTGGCCGGAAATGAAACAATTCAAACCTCTTCTGGAAACGGTATTGTTTGTTCTGTGTATACTTCGGACAAGTACCGATTTTCGATGTATCCACAACTTTGGGGTTTTCTGGTTGTAGTTATTTATGTTTTGTCGATAGTGACTATTGCTATAATTTACAGTTTGGTGGCGTTAAAAATTTGGAAGCGGGGCAAAGTTCACACTAATAGGAGGTCGAGGTCAAATACACCCGATTCAACTATTCAGAGGCGTGTAAGGTGTTACTCATACCATCAGAAACGATCGGAAGAACTGGATCCCTTCAGCAGAACTTGCTCGTCGCTTTATTTCCAGCATCGTTTAGAGCCAGACTCGTTTACAATGCAGGCTATTCAAGAAAGACATAAAAGAAGGTTATACCATTTGTGTACCCTACCCCGGGCAAAGGTCAACCATACCGACGGGAAATCAGTTCGACCAGTCCAAGAAGATGTTGGGGGTCAAGAGTTCAAGGCTGATTCAAATAACAGTGTGAATAAGTATAGCCAAGACAATGGAGGCTATAATTCTGTCATGAACACATCGGAGATGCAAGAAAATTATGACATATCCGTACCGTCACAAACTGTATTTCGTAGCCAAACGCTATGCCATAGAAATTATATCAGAAACAGAACTAGCAGCAATGACATACATCAGCTCTTAAATAACAACTGTACTAATAGATGTAAAGAAAACTGTACCCCTCACCGCGCAGCTAGCAAAGAAGATATGAACCGTCAAGAAACATCGACTCAATCTACAGCATTCATCGAAGCTGTTATTAATAAACTCAATGATACACAACACATCGAAAAATTGCAAAGTAGATGTTTTTATAGGAATTTCCAAGCATACAATCGACCAGCATCGCCGGTTGGTAGCTTGCATCGAAGACTTGGCTATTCGCGAAAGAGAACCACATTTATCATGTTTGTCATGACCTTAACCACAGTTTTCAGTCACCTGCCCCACATAATTGCCCTGTTATACTCGTTCACTCACCCAGGAGCAGAGGCCCATCTCACTGCGGATGAGTGCGTCATGTTTCACGTGGCTTGGAATTCATTTTTCATCAGTTTGGCCTCCCACCCGTTTATGTATGGCTTCTGGAATGGACGCTTCAAAAGTGCCCTGTGTGTCTTGTTAAGTGGTTGCCAGTTGAGGAAAAACTAAAGCTGAGAAATACAGATGTGGGTCTGGGAGAGAAATTTAACTTACGGACTGTCCCCTTCCACCCCTAGGTGTTGTAGTGCAGGTAGTCCCCTGACAGATAACAACAGCAAATACAACAACAATAACAACAGTGATAGCAACATAACAGCAAAAATAAACATAGCTACACAAAACAACAGCGGCAACAACAAAAAAACAACAGCAGCGATAACCAAACAAAAACATCGCCCGCAACAAAAAACAACAACAGAAAGATAGAGAACATCAACACACGACAACAATAACGATGCCACAAACAACGATAACAATGAAAAACACAACAGCTATATCAACAAATGACAACAGACACACCAATGATATTAACACAGTGACAAAAACACAACGAGAATGCTATAAAAACAAGGACGTCAAAAACAATGACAACAAACACAACAATGATGTAAAAAAAAACTGAAGACAAACACACCAATGATATCAAAACAATTACAACAAACACAACAATTATATTAAAACAGTGACGACAAACACAACAATTATTGCAAAATCATGACAACAAACACAACAATTTTATCAAACAATGACAAAAACACAACAATGATGTCAAAGCAATGACAACAAACACAATAATACTGCTACGAAAAGAAGGACGCCAAATTCAATGACAACAAACACAAAAATGTTATCAAAACAACGACGATAAACACAACAATTTTATCAAAACAACGACGATAAAGACAACAATTATATTAAAACAGCGACAAGAAACACAACAATGATATCAAACAGTAACGACAAACACAACAATGATATCAAACAGTAACGACAAACACAACACTGATATCAAAACAACGACGATAAACACAACAACTATGTCAAAACAATGACAAGAAAAACAACAATGATATCAAACAGTCATGACAAACACAACAATGCCTCAAAACAACGACAAGAAACACAACAATGATATCAAACAGTCACGACAAACACAACAATGATATCAAACAGTCACGACAAACACAACAATGCCTCAAAACAACGACAAGAAACACAACAATGATATCAAACAGTAACGACAAACACAACAATGATATCAAACAGTAACGACAAACACAACACTGATATCAAAACAACGACGATAAACACAACAACTATGTCAAAACAATGACAAGAAAAACAACAATGACATCAAACAGTCACGACAAACACAACAATGCCTCAAAACAACGACAAGAAACACAACAATGATATCAAACAGTCACGACAAACACAACAATGATATCAAACAGTCACGACAAACACAACAATGCATCAAAATCAAAACAATGACGACAAACACGCACACGCATTTTAAGGATATTAAAACAACGACTATAAACTGGGCTGTACCAAATAGTGATTTTGACTATTCGGCCGAATACGAATAACAGGACCAACTATTCGGCTGAAAAGGAATACTGTATAGTGTATAAAATATATCTTTAAAAAAAAAACACGCACACACATTCATAATGACAAATGTATGCTGAGCTTTTACTTCACATAAAGAAGCATAGAATAGTCATCTTCTTCTTTAGCATTCTGAACCCTTGAGGTTTACTGCTGCAGATATCACGCGTCTCCATTCATCTCCCTGGTTGGCTTTTTCTTCACAATCTGTGACACCAGTTGTTTGCAGGTCTGGCTGGACATTATCTCTCGAACTTCTTTTTTGTCTGCCTCGTGGTCTAAGCCCATTCCTCTCTCAGGTGTATACAGTTTTACTTCTCTGTCATCTGACATTCTTTCAATTTGCCCCAACCATTTTAGTCTGTTAGCTCTGATAATGCCAGTCTTCTTCTTCTTCTTCTTCTTCTTCGATCCTTCTGTCAGAAAACTTATATCAGGAGGCCGGTAGCCTTTATGAAAGCTATCGTGCAATCCATATCCTGTCGTGTACCATACAGTTTTGTCTTCAGTGTGGTTGGAACAGACCAGATTACTTCTCTGTTGTCAGCATACAGTTGACAGTGTTGGAGCACATGCTCAGCATTTTCGAGTGCCACGCTGCAGGGACACGTCTCCGTATTTCCTACACCCAAAAATTTGAACATATGTTGACGAAACCTGTTGTGCCCAGTCCTTAGTCTGAATATAATGCACTGTCCCTCTCTAGAGAGGCGATGAAGTGAGTCTTGGGGAGAAAATCTGTTGTGGGTATCCAGCCACCTTTCTTGGATACTAGATTGTATTAATGTTTTCATCTCTTGGTGGGTTAAGTCGCTATTTGGTTGTCCCATGTCACTGCCGCTTTTGGCCAATCTGTCCGCTATTCAATTGCCTTCCAAACCACAGTGACCGGGAATCCACTGCAGTACAGATTGTTCTACTAAAGAGCTTAAGTAAATCAGCTGTTGCGTCAAGTCTTTAAACTGTGTGTCTTTTGGGTTAACAATTGCTTGTAGAACTGACATAGCATCAGTCAGAAAGACCACTCTGCTATACTTGCTGTGCTGTTGTCCATTCAGGAAAGAACATGCCGCTAGAAGTGCTTCTGCCTCTGCTCTGTAATTGGAGGAATATAAACCTGTTGGTACAGCCTGGTTGATTTTTAAACCATTTGGGCATTCTATGTATATTCCTCCTCCCCCGTCTCTTACTGCTCTCTTGGCTGAACCATCTGTATACACTCGAAATAATGCCAGTATCAATGGTGATTTAAACAGATTATGTGTTCCATTCCCCGCTGTTAGCATCTTTGATGGGTCTAAAGATTTGTCGTAAGACTGTTTTCGAAAACATGTAATACGGCCTCAACTCTTTTATTTCTGCTTCAAGTTTCAGAGGCATAAAAAACGACTGGTCTTATCAACGTTTTATATATTTTGATCTTGGTGTTGCGAGACAGACACTTTGACATTAGCAGATGTTGAAGGGCATAGTATACTTTATTTCTAGATTGTATTCTAGATTGTATTTCTTCTCTCAGCATGCTGGAGTAGTAGAAGTTTGCACCGAAGAACTTATATGTTTCCGTTCGTTTGATTTTCATTATATCGACTTGGATGTGCTCGGAGTTTATATTCTTTCCATGTCTAGTTAGTATTCGTACAAAATAGTTAACATTTAAAAACATTTTATATTTTGCATCCTTCAGTCAGTCTGTGGTAACTAATAACTAGGAATGATAAAATCATAAGTATTATAGCAAGTAACTAAACTTGGAAATTGTCACTGACAGCTTAGTTAATACTGGGAAGCTGCATTAGCTTTCAACAAAACCAATCGTTCCATATTGTCAGTATTAAGGCCGTGTATGCAGAAGCGGGTGTAAGGTAACTACTATTCGTATTCGGCCCGACCGAATTCGGCCGAATTCGGTACAGCTCTACTATAAACACAACAATGATATCAAAACAATGACGACAAACACAACAATGATATCAAAACAACGACGATAAACACAATAATTATTTCAAAACAATGGCAAGAAACACAACAATGATATCAAACAGTAACGACAAACACAACCATGATAGCAAAACAATGACGACAAACACAACAATTATATCAAACAGTGACGACAAACACAACAATTATATCAAAACAACGACGATAAACATAACAAAGCATCAAGACAATGACGACAAACACAAAAACTTCGCAACTGTTGTAGACGTAAGGACGGTTTTTTTTTTTTTCAAATAGCAGCAACATCTTATGGCACCATGGAAGCAAAATCAGTACACCATGTTTTAATGAAATTAAGGCTTAACACCCCCTCCCCTTTAACCCCCCCCCCCCCACCCCCCAATCCCCCAATAATCTCGAACACGATTTGTTTTACAGGATGCTATAAATTTAAACCCTACCCACACACACAAAATTGTGGCTTGGCAGCGCTAATTAGGATCGTCAGGTAGAATGAAAGACTTGACTAATGACCAGTCGAAGTACAGAGGCCACTAGTGAGCAGTTGGTACTGAAGGGGTGTGGTTTTAATTCAAGGTACGTCACTCATTTAAGAAAAGCTTTATTGCCGGACATGAGAGACTGTGGTCAGTGATTCTACAGGAAATGGAGTCTTAACAAGTCCAGGCCGTAATTCAGGTTTTAAGGTGTCATGACTATGTTCCAGAAGAAAATGACATGATTGTATTTAAATAAACGTTGAGTTGTGTACATGAATAAATGTCAGATTTGTGTGTTTGAGAAAACTTGGAACATCTTCAGAAAATAAGCCCTGGTGCAGTTTGTAAGTAAAGATTATTATAAGACACGGTCTTATTATCAAGGAAACAAAGTAGTAAAAACAAACACACACACACATACACACAAACTGAAAGCATGTGCCTTTCCTGTGTTATAACGTGCACAAAAGGACCAGATATTATTTCACATTATGTACAAGAAACAAAATCAGAAAATTATTGTTTTAAATATTTTCTCAGAAACACTCCACCCAAACCTAATATTTAATAAAGCTGACAAATCAACAGCATCATAAATTAAAATAATAGGTTTTTATTAACTCGTTATGTCCCAAACAACGTGTGATGTGTGATTAGCTCTTCTGTGAATCCTACCAAACATTGAATGTTTTCTAGTATTGTTGACATTTGATGAAAACCATGACATTCTGCAGCTTTTAACCGGCCAACTAGCAAGACCCGCTGGCGTTAGGAAACATTTTCCGCAGATAAGAGTATGGGATTCTCGGCTGCCGTGTCGTCCACTGTCTGGCTAGTAGACGACTTTGTTGTCGGTCAGGACAGTATTTGTGTCTGTCTCCTCTGATCGCATCAACACGGCAGGAGTACTTTTCAATGCTCTAGTTGGCGTGCAATGCTAAGTCATTTTGTATGGCGGACATAACCTAGTCGCAATTATAACCTAAAGCTCCCCCTTCGGTGATGCTAGTTAAACGTGAGGACTTGATTTCTTCTTCAAGCAAAGCAAACGAATATAGTATTTCAGAACAATTGTTGCCATCGCATATCGTTTATAAGAACAGTAAACAAAAT